CCGCCATCGATAGGGCGAGGTATCATAGGGTCACGGTAGGGAAAAGTCTCATCATCAATATGCGGAAACAGTTTGGAGGCGTGAAAGACTGGGTACGTGCGCAGATGAGGCGGCACGTCAATCACAAACGAAGGGCCAAAATCATCCCCAATCACTTTCAGAATCTGCCAAGGGCCGTAGTATAGTGGAAGAAGCTTCTGTGACACGCCCTCCTCATCAGAAAATTCAGACATCTTAACCCAAACGTAGTCCCCGACCTTAAATTTCACTTCTTTGCGCAGCTTGTTGGCATGCTTGATCATGGCATGCTGGCGCTTGTTCATGGCTGCCGTAACAGCTTTGAGCAAGCGTGCGTACTTGGCATTGTAGCCAGGCATGCCGGGTATCAGACCAGGTGACCTTTCCGGGAACAGGTAGGAGACGGGATTACGCATCGGCCATCCATACTGCAACTGATTTGGTGTCACACCGGTTGCAGAATGGATGGAGTTGTTGTACAGTCCTTTTACCTTATGCAACTCCTTATCCCATGTGTTCTGGTCTGGCACAATTAACGCGCGCAGCAGTTGGGTGACGGTCTGGTTGATTTCCTCAGCCAATCCATTGGCTTGTGGGTGTCGACCAGACGTCATGTTTAGTGTGATGTCATAGACTTGGGCAGTGAAGTCCTTCCAATCCTTGCTAATGAACCTAGTGTCCCGATCACTCACAAGAGTTTTCGGGGGCCCATACTGCATGATGTACTGCTGGTGAAATTCTTCGATCACCAGTTCAGTTGGGGCATGAGGAGGTAAGGGAATCAGATTCAGAAATTTAGAGAAGCGATCCACAATGACCATGACTTGTGAATTCCCGCCCGCACTCACTTTTCCCATGTCCGTGAAATCGATAGAGACTGATTCCCCGGGACCATCAGGGATTGGGAGGGGTCTCAGGAGGCCATAAGGCTTATGCCTGTGGACCTTAATTCTTTGACAGACTTGACATTCAGCAATGAACTTCTGAGCAGATCCCTTCATCCCCGGCCAGTCAAACTGTTGGAGAAGACTTCCGTAAGTCTTCTCAAAGCCAAAGTGTCCACTCCGACCATGTGCCAGATCCAAGAAATGAGTCCGGAGAGGCACATGGTTAGGAACACACAAGCGATCGAATTTCCCATACCGGCGGAATACAAGACCATCGCATTCATGAAAATCAGGCTGGCTGTTAGGGTCAGCCTTGAGCTGCTCAAGGATAGGACTCAGGTCCGGGTCCTTGGCGGTGTGTTCGGCGAGATCCTCCTTCAGTTGCGTGCGGAGGTCGTATGAATCCACCAGGCAAGTCAAGTACTCGAGATGGCGGGATAGAGCATCAGCAACGCGATTATAGCAGCCTTTCTTATGCTTCAAATCAAAGTTGAAAACATCAATATCATGCAACCAGCGGGTCAGCGTAGGAGAAAGATCAGTTTGTGTCTTAATCCACTGCAAGGTCTGGTGATCTGAATAGACCTTGAAGTGGTGACCCAAGAGGTAGTGCTTCCAATGCGTGAGCGCCTCGCGCAAGGCGTAGAGCTCTCGCATGTATGTGGAAGTGACTACCTTGTGGCTGGGCATGCGTTTGCTGTAGTACTCAAGCGGACGCAGGCCATCGCCATCATCCTGTTGCAGCACTGCACCAATCCCAAACTGGCTCGCGTCCGTAGTGACTACGAACGTGAGGTTGGGATCCGCAATGCGGAGCACATGATGACTCACCAAAGCCTCTTTCAAGGCTTAGAACGCAGTCTCACACTTTTCACACCACACATAAGCAACATTCTTACTCGTCAGGCGGGAAAGTGGGTGAGCAATGATAGAAAATTTAGGCACAAAC